CTTTGCTCTGCTGAATGGACAAAACCAAATAAATATGGGACCCAAAGTAGTTGCAGTTTTTGCTTTGTTTCCTGTGCACACCATGGGTGTTTTCAGAGTCAGAAAGAAATCCTTAGGTCAGCAGAGACTAATTGCAAGGGCAAAAATAGAGCAAAGCACTCAAAACCAATCTAAGTAATTTTAGTCCATGCAGAAAGACAACGCCAAAGATACACAGTGTGGAGCTTCAGAGGAAATTTCATCATCTACTCCTTAGTGATATGAACAGCATTCTAGTCTGCCACTGTTCCTGGTTAGCCTGAGCAAGCTCGTACTTACGTATCTGGTATGTGCACAGTTTTACGCTCAAAAACAAATGTCTAAAGATTGATGCAGGTAATTCAACCTTAGCTGAGAACATCTGGCCATGCAGATTAAAATAAACCTTGAACACAGCTACTGTTACCACAAGTTGGTTTTTTTTTTTTTCTTCCTCAAGAACTAATAGCCAACAATAGTCTTACAGCACTGTGTTTTAAACATCTGTAGTCTAGATCAAAAAGGGAAGGGAAAACGCAAAACCTCAGGCATCACTCTTCCTTCTTTCCAAGAAAGCATTGCCATTTATGCCAGCTTGATAATAATAATCACACCAAAGTATAGTTTGTAACAAACAATTCTAATATCAGGCTGCTAAGGAAGGAGGGGAAAAAAAAATTCTTTTCTGCTACTTTCTTCCTATTAAAAAAAAAAACAAACACAAAAACAACTAGGACTTGTACAAAGAAGGATATTGAAGACTGTCTTTTAGTTTTACATAAAGGACACAGTTTGCAAACCATGTTTTCTATAAGTGCAACATAATTTTTTTCTTTCTAAAGCATTGCTGGGATTAGATCACTTCTGTAGCAAGATAATTAGGGAATTCAGACAGGGAGGCAGCAACCAAGTTATTGAAGGGATCGAAGCTTGACACTTTCTTTTTTTGCCCTTTTTTTGGTTTGTTTGTTTTTAAACACACCTTGAAGGCTTCTCTTTTCAACAAATATCTGAGGGCCTGCTGAAAGTAGAAGAAAGCTGAAGTAGGAAAAAGCCAGGAGTTAAAAAGAAAAAAGTACAAAAAGGACTCTGTAAAGCTACCTTCGCAACTATTCTACCTGTATCAAGACCAACAAATTTTTCGATGTGCATGTGTCAATTTTAAGTATTTGGAATAAAACCTATTTTAGCTAATAGCATGAATTAGAAAAAGATTCCAACTTATTCCCATGCTGCTCTGTGCATTCAGTGTGTTAGCTGAGGTGACAGACTGAAATTATATTTTCTGCCCACTGCTAAATTAATTAAAAAAAGAAAAAAAAAAACAAAAACAATAAAAAAAAAATCCCACACCAAACCCAGAAAGTTCTGAGTTCAGGAAGAGTTGCAGAGAAATTTTTTATTTCCAAACCCAGGCATGATTTTTGTTTTCCATTTATATCTCGGGGTTCGTGCTAAGTTTCACTGAATTTTTACTTCAAACAAACCAAGAAACCTCAAAGGCTAAACTCAGCCAGAATGTCAGCTTTCATCTCACTTAAACCTGAAGCCATAAATAGAATGCCCTAAATTCATAAACCTGGCTTTAGCTCCAGTTAAAAATGTAACCCACATTTCAAGATGTGTTATGTTCATGAGGGCTCCACCCATGAACCAAATCACTCCCTCCAATTCAATCTTTAGTTTTAAAATGTCAGCTTATTTGCAGTGCTAAGAGAACTCACTGCTTCCCGAGTAGTTTTCCTTCTGAGAAGTGCTACAGTTTTCTACTAAAAATATTAGTATTTTAAATGTTAACAGCTAACTCAGCAATTTACATTGTATTTCTGCTTTGTTCACCTTGTTTGAGGGCTTAAAAAGAGGTAAAACAAAAACTTTAAATACATATCAAACAGCTAAAAATGGTGGAGATATTCACGCAAGTGTTTGCTGTGATATCAATGATGTAAGCCATATCTCACATTTGTGTTTAAAATGAAACACAGAAAGTTTACTTTTGACAGAAGTGAAGTTATCAAGCCCTTCAACAATGTTCTGCCCAAAATGACAGCAACTTAGTACACTGTTCTCTGGGTAAGTTTGACAATCATGGAATTAGGGTATCCATTGCACTAGCTACCGTGAGAAAAATTTGGCCATACCTAATCAACTGGAATCACCATTGGCATCACTGTAACAGCTGAGAGAGGCTTCAACTTGCAGAAAACATGCCCCCTCCTCTTCTCTACTCTTCTCACTACCCTCTCAGTTTTCCTGAAGTTAGTTACAACTACTGATTTTGCCGCTTTATTTTTCTTAGTCTCAATGTTAAAAAAAAAAAAAAAAAAAAGGCCTATTGGTTTTACTGATTTACATCTCTACTTTCTCTTTCTCTGCAAAAGCAGAAAGTGAACACCACATCCCCTTCCTTGGGTAAGCCAGAGCACATTCATGCAAAGCTGCGAAAGAATGAAGGAATTTCGTCATCACCGCAGTAACATGCAAAAAACCAAACCAACCCAAAACCTCTGCATTAAAGGGAGATCAGGAAAAAGAGTATTATGGAAAGAATAGCCCATCATGGGGTAGAGCTCACGGAATGGAAAGAGCTGACAGCCTGAAATAACAGTGCGAACAGATCTGGCTCACAAGACACCAAATGTGCATTACAACACGTCAACCTTATTAAAAAGCTCATTCAGGTTCCTTCACTGCTTCCCCATGCTGGACCGATTGGGCAAGGATACTTTTTCCTCAGCCAGCACGTCATGGAGAAATTGCCTTCCAATATTATCTTATTAAAGTACTGGTTAGGGAAGAGATCAAAGAGTAAGCACAAAGCACCACTTTTAGAAATGGAAGACTCAGCAGTTGAAGGATTTAGCTGAAAGACTGACACAATATGAGGCACTGGGGAAAAACCAAAAGGAAGAACCCACACAAACCAACCAACCCACACCCCGTAAAGCCAGACAAAATGGATTCTCTAGAGTTTTGCTAAAGGAAAAGGTCATGCAACTTTTCAGCCTACAGCTGAGGCACAGCTTTTATCTCTGGTCAGCAAGCAGGGAGGGGGGTAAAGAAGGAAGCACAGCTTGATTAGCTGAGACAATTATTTCTAAAGCAACCTCCTCCCCACCTCACTTTTCTTCAGCAGTCACACGAGTGTTCCTGTATCATTCTGCGATCCTCCATTCCTCACAGAAAAGCATGAAACTAGAGCATCTCTCCATTGTGGTCCCTCATTTTGAGACACCGGGAGGACAGTAAAAATAATCTTAATCAGCAAAGGATAAACCACAGGCTGGATTGAAAAGCACTAGCATTTAAAAGAAAAGACAACTATCAATTAAAGAGAAAATCCATTTGAGTGCAGATGCATCTCATCATGGATCACTAGTCAGTGCATTACACAAAGCACTATCTCCAGGAAGTTCAAGTATTCAGAACTTACAAAATCCTATCAAGAGCTTAGAAATACGATTACAGCTGCCACATTCCCAAAACTGAGTTTTAGGGTTTGCACCAAAAAGTAGGGGAGAGACAAACCGCTGTCTCCAACATATGATTTATTTGGTCCTTATTGTCAATGAGGTCCACACTCCTCTCACTACTTTTCTTTTCTTGACAGCTTCACCCAAGTACACCCATACTAAAAGCCAGTGGCTGCTGCTTCTAAAGGTCCTGAAAGACAGGAGGGCTTGCCTGAGCTACCAGGCTTCCACTGCAGGAAATCCTCCACTGGCTCCTGAACCACCACAGCTTATAAGGGAGTTTTAAGGCAAGTGAAAACTGGCAATGGTTTCTCTCAAACTGCAGCACTGTAGGCTGCAGGGACACAGGAGTCACATCAAGTTACAGGTTAATCAGCATCTGCAAAGCACAGCTGGGGTGCTAGCTACAGGCAGTGACCTTGAGCAGGGAAGGCCGACAAGAAGTCTAGGGTCAACCGGATTTATTTAGTATTCACTGGCATTTCCAAATAATTACTCTGCATTAGGCTAAGATTATATTCATAAGCTCATACATGATTATCTACATAGTTCAAGGGCAAAAAATGGACGAAACAGTAGAGAAGCAGTTATCTCTCTTTATCTCTGGCAGATAAAGCCAGAAAACACAAAGTCTGAAATTAAATTAACACGTCCACCATACCCAGTTGAGAAAGGCAATGAGCTGTGGTTTTGCTCCCAGATTTTCTTCAACAAGAAGAACTAAACTTGATTTCCCACCACAAATATGGTGCAACTATACTTCCTCACACTGCAGGTTCAGAAAGATGGAGAACTCTAGCTCTGTGTTAGCCTTATGAGAATCCCATTGTAAATAAAGCTTTAACAAAACACCAGAGGTAAAGTGAGGGGGGGAAAAGGGGGGGGGGACCAAAACCCAAACAAACCCAAACCCAGCCCATCACAGAAAAATACGTTATTTTTTGAAGGAGCTGCCCTTTGGAGAGGAAATAACACAATGCTTCTACCATAGCCCCAGGTTAACAAGTTTCATTACACTCCAGGACATAACAAAAAGATGCAGCATAAGACAGGCTTTAAGAAAGAATCCAGTGAAGTTACTAGATATCTGTACCTTTCCCACCCCATTTCTTAGCTACTTTACTCCTGGCTTCAAAAGTGAAATGCAGTTATGTTTACACAATATCTGAGACACTGGCCTTGCTAAACATGGAAAGCTGTCTAAAAAGTTCGCTAAACATGGAAAGTTGTTTAAAAAGTTTACAACGAAAAAGCAAATAATTTTTAATGAATCAGTTTTACACCTGCACTTGAAACCAGAACTTCAGTTCATGAAGTACATTTTGTGTTTCTGTTGATGTAAATGGAAGCATACCAGTCCCGTTTCGTTTGCAGGACAGTCACTTTACACAGCTCTCATACAATAAAGGTGACATTAGTCTATGAAGTCTCAAAATGAAGACAATATAAATGCACAAGGAACAGTGCAAAATGACAAGCCAATTAAAAATAAAATTGCTGCATATTTACCTTCGTTTCCCAGGAGAACGGAGCCGAGTGTTCATCTTGCCAAGTTATGTCCTGAAATAAAATTCAAGAATGACTAAAAATCAGAAAAGCAGCTTTACCTGCTCAGGAGCATCATACAGATGTCATTACATTGCACTGCTGGAAGCATAACAACCACTATCACAGAACTTTCTAAAAATCGAGAGCACTACTTAGAGATGGCACTGATTACATTTTAGGACTGACTAAAAGCAAGTTCTCTGGGGGGGAAGATTATCAATTAGTATACCAACTTAATCTACAAAACATATGAAGGTTCAACCTGGTCTAAGCCTCTTGAAACGGTTTCTCTACAAATAGCTTTAAAACGTATTGTATTTCCAGTTTTCTACTGGGCATTTTCTTTGGTAGCCACTAGCAACACACAGGGACAGAAATAACAAGAGGAGCAGGGGCCTTAGGGAAATAAAGTCCCATTTCTTCCCCTCCGCAGACCGAAGAGCACGTGTGCAACCAGGCAGTCACGTGGCAGAGAAACAGTCGCGCGTCCATCAGGCCAAGCCACAGCTGGATCCAGCCCTGACAAGAGACATCATTACGCCACTTCAATGACGATCAGTCTGAAACAAGTATTCAGTGCTGTTGAAAGAACCACACGATGTCCAGACTAAAATCCCGATCTGAAACAGCATCTTTTTAAGAAGCTATTTTTCTGAAAATAATCCCAACTTGAGAAATTTAAATCATCTTTTCATACACAGCATGCCCTCCAGAAATACATGCGACCCACATGGAAAAAAGAAGTGGTGAAAAATGAATAAATGTCATTCACATTTGTTCCAGACTTGCAACAAAATGATCACACTTCTATTTCTAGTCGTGGATGAGGCTCATTTGCACATTGGAGGTTCACGCTGGTAGAGGTAATGAGTTGCACCCTCCATACCGAGTATGTCACTGCTTGGCCACCCCAGTACATCAGGGAGGAACAGGAGTCGGAAGAGAGGATGGAAGGAGAAAGGCCAGGAGTAACCATGCCCAGGGAAGGAGAAGACAGGACAAGACCTGGAGTGCTCGTTTCACACTCCTGCTGTTCAAAGAATAAGAGAACTAGACCATGTTTTAAGCTAACACAGGAACCCCACATCTTACCGTGACTGCCCTTTTCTTCTTATTTCTGACCTCTGCCCTTATAGAAATACGTTTCTCAGACATCTGATAGCATTCTCCTGATCTGCCATCTCTTATTTCACCCTAGGCAGATTTTGCTGGCCAAGGGCTATGAAATCACAATTAGAAGTGTCTGAAACCATCTCCTAAACATGAAAACGTGTCATTCTCCAACTATTACTCATCTGTAAAACACAGGGTTTCTGCAGCAAAGTATTTGTGGTATATATGAGGGTGATCCCGTGCTCCTAAAAAGAACTGGGCTGATAGAGACCATCTAAAAGGAAAGGCCTGGGCTTGGACCACACATTCTGGCCAAAAAGGAAATCTGGTACAGGAAATTTTTGCCAAGAACACAAGTGTAATACCAGGTTCTCTCATTCCAGGAAATGGATACTTGTATTTATTAACATTTAAGGGAAACAAAGGGAGCCAAAGTCTGCTTTTTAGTATCTGTTCTAACTTCTATCAGTATTTGCACTGTGGAGTGCTGCTGACCACATGGGAATGCCACACCACTTAGGTGGGATGCCTCGGAGCAGGTGAGGGTCAAATTATTTCAAAATGATTTTAGGACCATATCCTTTGCCTCTGAAACTGGTGGAGTTGGAACTTCATTTCTGAAGCACACATGACAGGAACCACGGTCCAGGAGGGAAGAGAGTTGGGGGAGCCCAGCCACTGGATTGAGTCTCACACACAAGATAGGACCATAACCCTTCTGTCCACATGGGGTCTGGACAAATCAGTACTTGACTTCAACCACAGCAGTAAAGGACAGAAATGAAGTCCAGCAAACAGTATAACACTCCTACATGCTGTCACAGCACCTTAAAGCTCCAGACATGTAGGCATAGCTGTCAGTGGGTTTTACCTAAGGAGTTTAAAGGACGCTCTGACTTCTTGCCATTAGCAGGACATGCAAACCAGCCGTGGATCAGTTTTAAATTTGGGAGAGAGCCAAGACCATCCTCATCCTGGATCTGAGACAGTCAGTTCTTTATTTTCCTGTATTTGAGGTTAAGTGTAGACAACACTGGGAGGGACACCTCTTCACCCAACGCTCCCTGCACATTCTCAACTCGGTGACGACACCGCTGCTGCGAGAGAGCCCTGCTGACGAAAAGACTGCCTGCAGAGGGATAGAAAAGCAGCACGGGGCAGGCAGAGTGAAGGTATGAGGTTGTCATGCACCAGGATACGTCATTCCCTACAGGACAGAGCAAATCAGCTTCCCACTTCATAGAATCTGGTATCTTCTCAACAGCTACTGCACTTGTTGGCACCTCAACTTGTGACCTCGACCTCCAGCTTAGGCAGACAAAAAGCTCCTGAAATGAATTAATGGTATTTTGGTACTGGTTGTTAAAAAGTTCTTGTCAGAGACAAAATCTAAGACTTTCATGGATTATTTCAAAAGATGGAAGTAGTAGACACTTGTTAGACAGCAGTTCCCTGAAAGAAAAGGACCATAATTTTTTCTTCTTAAAAAGGATGGCTCATTGTATCTCAGATTGCACAGCCCAGCACACCTCAGAGCCAGTAAGACTGAGGAGCTTTGCCCACATTCAAGAGATCTTCATGGGATTTAGCAAAGGATAAAATAGGCTAAGACATGGTTTGAGGATACCAAGCTTCAAGGAGTTGATATCTGTGGTTATTTGAAGCATACTTGAAGCTAGGATGAAGGAGACAGTTGTCAAATTCTATCCATTGTCACGGAAGGGAAGGAAATTTGTGGCCTCCACCTCTTGTGCCCTCACACAGAGGACACGCAGAGGACCAAGTGAGAAGCAGAACACCACAGTTCGTTTCCTGTCTGATGCGCCTGATTCACGTTTATCACCCACAAAATCTGAGAAATAACTTTGCTTTCTGTAGAATAAACAAGTTCTCACACGCTTGAAGAAAATGGGAGCAAAAGCATCAACTATTTCAATATTCAGAAAAGTAAATTACAAGTGGAAATGCTAGAGAAAAAGGCTTCAAGGCTATTTATCATCAACACAGATTAGAAGAGATCCATATCTGATCCAGCTGTTGTTTTCAGCACACAACAAAGCCTTCTTCCAGAAAGAAGGCAAATAAATAAACTTTTGTTCACCAGCACTAAAGAACCTATTTGTAAGAAACAGGGCTTCATGCAACATATTTCATAGCTAAAAAAAGAAAAAAGAAAAGAGAGAGAGAAAGAGAAGCAAAAATCCAGTCATACACTTGACTTCAACAACCAGCTGCAGAATATATAAAAAAGAATCACAAACTACGTTTGCTATATGTAGGCAGCTTGTTGCAAAACAGCATCTGAATTTCAAAATGGAAGACACTGGCAGAAATGTGCCAGCGTACCTGACACAAGCATTGCTCAGAGCAGCTGACAGTAACCAGTCACAAACCTACCAAAAAAATGCATTTTAGAAGTGCTATCAGAATAGGACTTGCTGGTTATTGGGGTTTAACTGCGCTCAAAAGCTGCCTTTTTTTTTTTTTTTTTTTTACAAAGCACAAATCTAACAGGCCCAACATAAAAGTTATTGCTATATTGAATATTTGTTGTTTTAAAGCATTTTTAAGTAGGAGATAAAAGGGTCGATCCTCTGGCTTGGTGCCAAAGTTCTTACGGCTAAGCAAAACAAATACCGTATCTGCCTTCAGGCAGATAAGTCAAGCTTCCCTATTAAAAGATGATGAATGAAGCTAACCGAACTCTCTTACCTGTCTTTCCTCCACATAAAATGTTTATCACTTCCTAAAGCACATTGCATTTTCTTCAATGAAAAGTTTAGTTATTTCAAGTCCAATTTTTGAGCTGCTGAGTACCGCTCAAACTCAGTATCCCTTTAAAAAAAAAAAAAACACTAAAAAAAAAGAAAAATCAGACCTTAAATCCATGTGTATGTCGCACACTTGTGGATAAAGAGGGACAATATTAACAGAAGAGTGAGAACTTCTTGTAAACTGAATATCTAAACTATCTTTCACTGAACTAAACAGGGAGGATCCAGTAGCATCAACTAATATCAAATCAGATGCTTAACACAAGCTGAGCACTACAGCAGTCAAAGGGTGGTAGCCTCTCACACACTGCTGGTTTTCCACCTATTCCCCTCATGATGGCTCGTAATTTATGGTGTATTTCAAAAATAGCCCATTTATATTACATTTATATTCAATCCCGGATTCTATTTCCAGATTTTCCTCTGCTCAGTTAACCTTATTTTCTACCACTATGAGCATTAGACATAAATGGAAAAATGCCAGCAATTGGAGGCTTGTTGGGAAAGAGGAAGCTCTGCTTGAAGGTTGCAGCCTCCAAAAGCCCTCAGCCAGAAGGCCTAGGCTGCCTAGACACAGAAAATGATGGTGAAGCAACAAATAGTCTCTTGGTGCTGGGCCCACGTGCGATGATAGCAAGTCAATCTTCAGCAAACATGCTGAAGCAATCTTCTTTCATGGGTGTGTAAATGACCCTATTAGCCTGGAAGAGATGGAAAATATACACATGACCTAGACCACACGACTCTAGAAAACAGAACAAGATAGAGAGGCAAGAGATACTGGGTTTCGCTAGGAGGAGGTGTTGGAAAATATTACGGCCTGCAACTCCATCAAGGTTATCGAGCTGGTGTATTCTGGAGTCTCTTTCAACCAGGAAGTCTTAACTTGACACTGTGAGGCCGATAGTGGACATATAATGGCTGGTGTTAGCAATTGCTTGCATCCTCACCATGACAGCGTAATGCACATGTAGATGCCAAGCGAACTGGGTGCCACCCAACCCAATTCTGTGCTTGGGAGAGAAACGCTGTTTGGGGAATCAGGGAGCCCGATTCCTGTACTTCCACTTATTCTGTCAAGCTTTTTGAGACTTTTTAAAATACCCTCAGTTCTTTGACAAG